CACTAGAGACAAATTTCTATACTATGATCATTCCTTTTCCTCAAATTACACAAAGCCATGGTGACAAAGTCCACTGGTGACAGGACAACAAACAACAGCTTGGCACACACCACTCTTTGACCTATTAATCATCGCACACAAACATGCCACAAACTTTCTTATCCGTGAACTGAGATAAGTCTGTCTTGATACTCTGTTCTATAGATTACTGCACTGTTATGTGGTATTACGTGGATTTGTGTGAATGTGAGTGCATTTGATTCACAATTTAGTGACTGCAGATGAATGTGATTACATTTCAGAGAGTCCATTGCAACAAGTCACTGTCTTCTATTTACTCTTGTTTGTTTCTCTTGGCAGCCTTTTGGCAGCACTGGGACTGTAAAAATTGTGGCTTTCCTGTCCTAAACACTCTTCTATAACAAACAAAATGCAAGTAAACCACTGGGAGGGGGTCAACCTTAACTGTTTAGAGTGTTTAAAAGTGTATGCTGCAAAAATGTAGAAAATAAAACAGGACCCATTACAGACCCCTGCGAGATACCTTCACATAAGCTATATGGGGAAACAACTTTTTTATACCTTCGTACTTAGCTTCCACTTTATTCCCATTATTTCCAACACCTTTTTTCTCTTCCAGTTCCCCTGTCTCTATACCTTTTGTTAGGTATAATAAATGTCTTTTCTCTCTTGTCCCCCTGCCCCCTTTTTGTCATATTCACACTTCACTTCACTAATTTAACCATCTTCACAGCTCCCTCTTCACACTGAGTTGCCTTTTGTTTATGTCAGCCTTTCATCTCTTCTGCACAGCAAGAGCAGCTTAGCTACAGGTCAAATGAGAAAACCTTTATCAAGCAGGAAAAAAATGCCAATAGCTATCCCAGAATTATCACCACTCAAATATCCTGCCGCCTTAAAAAAAATGGTGAATTTAGAAGATCGTTAAAAAATGTTTGCACTTCTGTAAAAGTCACAGTTCATCTGTGATATTCCTAATGTATAGGAAACCTGTGACAGTTGTGTGTGTGTGTGTGTGTGTGTGTGTGTGTGTGTGCATCGGTGTGTGTGCTGAGTAATCTCCTCCCAGCAGGTGACCATTGAACTCTCAACCTAGTCCCCCTGCTGAGGGAGATGGCAGGGGGGTGAGGTCCACCTCCACGGAGACATACAGCCCTCACACCTCCACCCCCACCCCTCCTCCCCACATGGACTCGTCCCTCAACCGGGCACTATAAAAAGTCTGCTCTTGTTGAAGTTTTTCAGTCTCGACACGAACTCCACCAGGTAAGACAAGCAACTGCTCTGGCTCTAACTGGGACTTGGGCTCTAGAAATAGGTAGTCAAAAAGAATATTTGTCAGAGAACTTTTCAGTCAGGGAGAGTGAACTTTATACAACTTGTAAACTTTGAAGAAGTTGTGAACTGGTGCCAAAAATAAGTTTCTCTGCAAGGAAGATAAGTTTTAGTGATACATTTTAATTGTGATTTATTTCATTTCATTAATTGTAATTTTGGGATTATGCTGCTTAGTTTGTTATGATATTTTAGTTATTTTAATTTCAAGGAGACAAAGAGATCCCTAAATAAATGCTCCTGGATTGAGACTGCCTTTGAGATCACAGTGATAATTATCTTATTCCATGACTGATTTACTGTAAATGCCTGGAACAGGATTATGTAGAAGTCGAAAGCTAATCTGCTTGAGTGCTTGTCTCTCTAATTTAGAACCTTTCCTAATCTACCCAGATTACAGCTCCTTTCATAGGCAGCCATATGTTTAGTGCGATCTCATCTGGGCTAATTCAGGGATGAGTGTTTAGCTTTTGGGTTAAGGCATTCTTTCTTTTAAGCTCATCTGGCCCTCGCATTGCTTTAGGTAGGGGAATCAAGATTTGACTGGATTTTATTAATTGGCTTCCATTTTAAAGTATTTTTCTTGTTAATTTCTTTGTCTAATTTAAACATGTTTTATTGAATCTCCTTTACTGTGAATGTGATGTGTGCTGCATAATCAACTGTTACCCCTTTTTCCATTCTAGACCACCACCATGAAATTTGCGGCTCTTGCTCTTGCCCTTCTGCTGGCTGTCGGTGAGTACTGAATGCACTCTTAACCTGCTTAACTTGCATGTACATCAATACTCAGTCAGTAGATGAGTTTTGTATAATATTTAACATATTTTAAATTAAATTTCAAATGACATTAGAAATACTGTATTTTCTGACTGCTTTCTCTCCTCCTCCGCCTCAGGCTCTCACGCCGCTTCCCTGCAGGCTGATGCACCCTCCCAGCTGGCCCACGTCAGGGCCGCTATGGATGTCTACCTGACTCAGGTGAAGGACAGTGCCAACAAAGCCCTGGACCAGCTTGATGATACTGAGTACAGGGAGCTCAAGTAAGGCCTCATTATTCACCTTAGTCAGTCTCACTTTCTGCAATTCATGCTTGCTCCATCACTGGTTCATTTACCTTTCTTCCATTTTTTTACAGTTCTCTAGTCACTATTTACTTACTGCTGTGTTTATTTAACTTAAGCTAAAATGGTTTTGCTCCTCCATCTCTGTTTGTTCCCAGGGCCACCCTTTCTCAGCGCCTGGAGGACATGTACAATCAGGTTAAGACCCTGCAGGGTGCTGTTTCCCCCATGACCGACAGCGTCGTCTCCACCATCTCTGATGCCACCGCTGAGTTCCGTGCCTCTGTCATGGCTGATATTGACGCCCTGAAGGCTGATATCACACCCAAGCAGGTTGAGCTGAAGGCAGTCATCGATAAGCACATCGATGAGTACCGCACCCTGATGGATCCCATCATCACAGAGTACTATGCCAAGCACACAGCTGACATGGATGCCCTGAAGGTAAAGTTGGAGCCCATTGTGGAGGAGCTGCGTACCAAGATTTCTACCAACGTGGAGGAGACCAAGACCGCCCTGATGCCCATCGTGGAGTCTGTTCGCGACAAGCTCCAGGAGCGTCTGGAGAGCCTGAGAGCAATGGCTAGTCCCTACGTTGAAGAATACAAGGAGCAGCTGAAGCAGGCCTACAACCAGGCTCAGAACATCAACACCGACGAGATCACCACCCTGAAGAACAAGATTACACCTTTAGCCGAGGAAGTCAAGGCTAAGCTCCAAGAAATCTTCGAGGCCATCGCCGCCTCCATCACCAAAAACTAAATCCTCTCTACCCTGTTCCTGTAACTATCCTCACCTACCTATCTGTTCTAGATTCATTCCACCTTTCTCTCCATTCCGTCTTTCCTCACATGCACATACAGACCACCTCTCAAAATGAAGCCGATGCCTAACTGATGCACTTCTTTGCAACACAACGGCTGGACTCTTGCTCTCTCTCTACCATGCAAACACCTTTCTTTGTGCGCACATGCTCAAGCACACGCAAGCAAAGAAACACACAGGCACATACATACTCAGCACACACATGCTTTGCTCTTAGCATGCCACAGCCAGCTGCTTACATTTTGTGTAGGAATTGTATGTGAATTATCACAAGTGCGTGAACTTCTGTGTAATGATGCTTGTCTGAAAACTGTGCTTTGACGAAATACAGCTCAATAAACATCTGACTGTTTATACTACTTTGCTTTCTGACTCTAACCTGAACAGTATCTTATGCCAGTTTAGTATTGAAATTATTTCCTTTTCCCTAAATTATCTGCCTGGAATGAAACAGAATATTGTCAGTAACAGTCTATAACACACTCCAATTCACTTTGTCAATAAATCCATGTCTGCCCTATCCGAAAACAACATTAGAGTATAGCTAATTTTATTTAACTATTAAAATACATAGTGTAGTTTCATCACGATGATTACTGTATCCGAAATATATCAGCACACCTTCAGCCTTATTGTTATTGTTTTCGACCTCAGTGAGCCTTTAGGGTCATATCACAGAGACAGATCTTTGAGGGGGTCATCATTGATCACAAGATCCATTGGAAAAGAGCAATATTAATACAATCAGTTCTACTTAAGAAGGGCATCCAATAACATATGAAATTTCTGCCCATGGTCCTGAAAGCTGTGATTAATGAGCTGGTTGGGGGTGTGAATTGGCCTATTGACAAACTTAAGTCTTGTTGTGCTTTATTAGGGTAACGTCGACTTTTCTGCTTTGGATCCCTCAGGCTGGAACCCTTCAACACTGTCCCATCATAGAGCCACATGAGGCTATACACAGACACACACACACACACACACACACTTATATATACACACATATACACACATCACAGCCACAGCACTAAGACACTTCCACTCACATTTTTAATTAGACAACATTGATTTATCAAGATCATAAGTCATATTATTGGTGGCTTACTTTGAATGTTTTGAACTATGGTCATGCGACACAAAACCTTGCACTCACAGTGAGACTAAAGACACTTTCGGGCACCAAATAACATTAACAGTTAAGGACAACAATGGAAATAAGTCCAAGACTTCCCTGACAAATTTGCATATGTTGCATTTTATAAATATACTAGAATGTTACCTTTAAACCAAACCAGGACCATCCACTCAAGTCAGTAGTAGGGAATAAGTGACTTTCTAATTAGTATGGTGTTGAAACTCTGCTCCAAGAAAATAGGCTATGAATAATAAAAGCAATTAGTTGCTGTCTTCATCTGTCCACACCCAGTAACACTGGGGTGATTAGGATGTTATTAATGTCCTACTGGTTGGTCAAGACAAGCTCCACTTGAGGCTTTAGGCTATAAGAAACAATAGGAAATGCAAGCAGTGATTTCAAGATGCCCCTAAAAGGTTTTGTGTGTGTGTGTGTGTGTGTGTGTGTGTGTGCGCACATTTATGTATTCACTATTCTTTCATGCGGATGTGGCTGTGATTAGTGCATGTCAGTGGCACTCTGAGTATTGTAATGGATGAGGCAGGAATGGAGGTCCCCAGTGAGAGTCTCATGGTGTATAAAACCAGCTTGTTCCTGAACACAAACAGCCATTCCCAACACTTGGATGTATGTCTACCACACTGGCGGCGAGGAAGATTTTTGCGTTCTGTTCTATGTTGCAAGACAAAGTTGTTGGTTTGGTTCTCCGCTGGTCTTGATGTAAAGGCAGGAGTGGCTACTCGTGGTCAGAAGTGGAAGATCAGACTTAAGTAAACAGAAACATCAAAGGAGGAGACGAAACAGAAAATTAATTTATATTTTTGATCTCACAGACCTTCAAATAATGAATGGTAAGTGCTGGTTTCATGATCAGAACTGAGCTCAGGGGAGAAAACATGCATTCATGTGCTGATGATCATGGACAGAATCTGTGATTCAAAGGCGGACAAAAGTTAAACACACATCTCTCCTCTCCTCTCCTCTCCTCTCCTCTCCTTAGGTCCTCAGCTGTCTCAGAGCTGTGAACTATCTCTGCCCTGCTGTGCAGACAGGGGGTCACTGCCGAACGCCAAGGCCCCCCAAGTCAGCGGGGTTAGGGTTCAGCTGGAAATGCATGTACTTTGGCAGCAGTTTGACCAGCTGGGCACAGAGATGATTGTTACCAAAGCCGGAAGGTAACAATAACATTCATATTTATATTGCTTGTTGCCTTATCTCGCACTTCATTTTTACTCTTTGTCTGGGGTCCCTTGCTACATTATGCTCATCTACATGTTCACAAACTGCAGGAGGATGTTTCCAACATTCCAGGTGCAAATCTCCGGGATGGATCCTGCTGCTGAATATGTCCTGCTCATGGACTTTATCCCTGTTGATGATAAAAGATACAGGTTAGATTGTTACTTGGAAACATTTGAACTTAGTTCTGATCTGTTCTACTATTTCCATCACTTTTTTCAAGACCATCATTGTCCACTTATAACCTAGATCTGTGGTAGTTCCTCCTCTGCAAATTTCATCCCACCTTATCTATCCTATTGTCCAATTTTACACGTTTGAAATGTGTCTGTGTGTGTATCAGATATGCGTTCCACAGTTCATCCTGGTTGGTGGCAGGACGAGCAGATGTTGTGGCCCCAAGCAGGATGCATTTCCACCCAGACTCACCTGCCTGTGGAGCCCAGTGGATGAAGCAGACGGTATCCTTCGACACTCTCAAGCTCACCAACAACCTGCTGGATGACAACGGACATGTCAGTCAATGTCTTTAATGTGGCTCCTACATGCTTTCATTTTTTAGCGCAGAAAAAACTGCATAGGACAAAGTTGCGTTATATTTCATTATGCAAAAACATATAGAAACGACTCTTTTTGACTTCCTCCTTGCCAGATGATACTGAACTCCATGCATCGCTACCAGCCACGCTTCCATGTGGTGTATGTGGATCCATCTCCTAACAGTCAAGTAAATGCATACAGGAACTTCTGCTCTTTTTCCTTCCTCGAGACTCGCTTTATGGCTGTCACTGCTTACCAAAACCACCGGGTAGGGATCAGTAGGCTTCTCACTAATCACACATCTGTTTGATTGATGTTCTTGTTGTTTGTTCTATCAAGCACATGCCAGACTCCTGTCTACTAATGACAGAAATGTATTTTCTTTTTGTCTTATTTATTTGACCCCCTCCACCCTTTCTCTCTCAGATCACCCAGCTAAAAATTGCGAGCAACCCGTTTGCTAAAGGCTTCAGGACTACAGACCCCCACGACCAGTGAGTGTCTAATCCCCCTGAATACAGTTTCCCATATTAAGAAACACATCTGTCCCCGGAAAGGCCAGCTGAAATCATGACTAGATCACAGTGCCTCTTTATCGCTGTTATCAGCTGGTACATAGTGATAAGACAGCAGCCTCGATGATAGCTAATCTTTGACCTTTGTATGCAAAGGATGTTCACACATGGCAGGTTGTTGGCCGTGTATAGTACAACTGTGAGAGACATGATTATGGTGATTTATAGGAGTTTACATATCTGCCTACTATGCTTGTGTGACTATAATATACAGTATCTGTATGGGGGGGATACTTATGTGTGTGTGTATGTGTGTGTAGGGTGGGTAATTCTGGTCACCTAGCAGTGTGGTGTCCACCAGAGGGCAGAACCGAGCCCCTTGTCACAAAACTTGGAGAGCAGAGAAGCTGGGGGTCAAAGACTTCAACTAGTGAGTATCTGTCTGTATATGTAGAGTGCACCACCCAATATAATTAATCTTGTTGAGAGCATAGTGTTTCATTATAGGTTTCCTTTTAATAATATAACATATTTTCATCCACATCCCCAATTTCCACACAGGGTTTTTTATTTGCTTTTGGAATCAAATTCTTATTCTGGTGCTTAATTTTCTGCATTTGTTGGATCTATTTGCTGATTAGATGCTTCATGCAGGAGGCAGGGTTACAGAAAAGATCCTCAAACACAGGTCAAAGCCCTCTTGGTGGTTTATCCAGCAGTTCCAGCAGTGCTCTGACCTCCAGCCACATTCATCAATCTTACTTCTCCGGTGTTATGAAGCTGGATTGAGCAATAGACAGTGGGCAAATGATTTGGATTTGATATATAGAGGATGTAATAAACTTTGGTCTATGTGCTGATCAATACCTGCTCAACTGTGTTTTCCTGCATCCTCAGGACAGGAGGACCCAGCCCCGTTGTTGGCAGAGCAACAGTGTGGACTTTTCCACCACTGTAAAGACTCAGTGGGACTTACCATGGAGAGGAAAGATGGACACACTATATTAGCACCTGCTGCCTTCCTCCCTATCCCTTCCTACTGGGACTGCCCAGGATCATCTCAAGAGAGAAGCTGTTTGTCATAGAGAAACTGACTTTGAATTCACTGTGTGTTTTATAATACATGTATATAGTTTGTGGTCTCCCTCACCAAATAAATGTATAGTAATGGTATGCATGTGCTCCATCAAAACAGTAATGTCTATGGCAATATGATAGATGACGCTGATATATATGTTATATATAATATTATAGCATACAATAGGAGCACTACAGAGTCACAGTAAAGTCCTATAGATTATATACATACATAGGCTTCTAGGACCCCGACATACTCACAGCTGAGAACAACAAGCACACATAATAATTTATGAAAATGATATGGTAATTTGTACAACTGCAATGCTGTTATTTGGTGTCTAAGATAATAAAATAACCTTCTGAAATCTTGGTCTCTCTTTTTTCCTAAATTTAATCTATAATAAGTGTTTAGAAAATTCAAATGGACTGCGAGCTGTGTGTGCTGTAGTGGCTGTGTGCTGGATGAGAGCAGGCAGCAATGCCTCAAATGCAAATGTGATATGGGAATAGAAACCCCTGTGATCCCCGAAGCGATCACGGTGAAAACATCATTACCCAGAATGCGGAGTGTCCCAGGGACAGTTCCTGAAGAAGCGGCGAGAGTCAGGACATGACAGCGCCTTCAAATTAAAAGGCCTTATGAGGAAACGCACGATGCACGGTGCGCATTTGTAGGATTAAAAACGTGCATGATGATTATCTATGGCCGGATGTAACAGCGTATTTTATTGCACAGATAAATAGGAGACACTGTATGGGTATCAGTAAGGGCTAACAGCCCATACAGGCAAACTACCTTCACGGTACAGATTGGTTTGGGCAGTTGACCTCTAACTGCGGCGCTGTGCTGCGTGACATTTCGGTTTGAAGCCTTTCATTACTGTCTTATTTAGGAAACACTTACAGGAAGTCGCGTGGTTTGGCAGTGTAACTTGACGTCGGCCAATCGACGATGCTCGCGCTCTCGCAGCTCTGAAGGATGCAGCGGGGTGGATGGAGGAGGAGGAGGAGGAGGAGGAGGTGAAAGACTGGAAGGCGGAGAACAGAATGAACGGGCCGGGGAAGCTGAAGGATGCGGATTACGGAGGCCCGCCGGTCAGCCTGCTTACTGACGAAGGTTTCGGTCGTTTGACAAGAGGATGTGCGGAGAAAACGACGCAGGTCTGCGGTTTGTTGATACACTGAGCACGGAGGGAGAGCCTGTAATTTACCCGTCGCCTCAAACGATCCGTGCCACCGAAGGTTGCCTGATTTAATTGTGAGGGTGAATTGATTTCTAGCCTTGGCTATTTTGCACTACATGTCTGTGGAGGTGTAACATTGGGTTAATCCATTTAACGTCAAGAAACCCGGAGAATAACACAGTGTGACCCCGTCCCTCTTCATATCTGTGGCTCATCTGCCATCATGCTTTTAGCCGTCATTTTAGCATCCTCGCCACCTGATCTCCTCTCCCGTGTCGCTGCAGACAGGATGTCAAACTGAACGGAGCGCCGTAAAGTCAAAACCAAACACACCAAAAATACTACAACTTCACCGAGTTTCAACATGGAGGCGTCGACCCTACAGCCTCGCTGGTTGACAGGTCTGCTCTTATGGACGACGTTGTGTCTGGTCGGCAGCGGTCAATCCGCGCCTGACGCCTCGGGCCTGCCTGTAGCCATCCGCGTGCCACTGCGGCAAGGCGCTCGCGCTGAACAGCCACCTGCCGCCGTGAACCGCGAGCGCGGCAAAACGGGGCAGCACGCCGCGCGCAGGCGGAGAGGAGCGGCAGCGGGCGGCATCAGCTTCGTGGACATGATTGATAACCTGCGTGGGAAGTCTGGTCAGGGATACTACGTGGAGATGGCCGTGGGGTCTCCTCCGCAGAAGGTAAAGGTGTTATTTGCGTGGCGTGTTAAATGTGTTGTCACAGCACTCCTGACTGTACATCTCTGTTCGCCCTATACAACTGCTCTATCGTAGCAAACTCCAATGGTTCAATATTTCCTAAAGGATGACATTCAGTGTGACTGCTCAGTGTTATTCTTCATTACCCTCTACAGAGTCTGGTAATGCTTAAAAATGCAATTTTCTCCTTCCACTCCCTGTCTGTCACAGTTGAGTTTAATCTGCTTTATTGGCAGGAATGTTCCATTTAATACCAGCTACACTTCACTCTCTGTGCTGCCACCTTAAAATAATCATTAAATCCAGTCTTCTTTGTTGATATGAAAGTATGACAGTGGGGGGGAAAAAACAAAACAATATTGCCAGAGCATTAACATTAAAAGGAATATAAATATAAAATCATATGATGCTTTTACCTTTAGTGATCAGCATGTCTATATGTGTGTCTGTGTCTGGGCAACTAACTAGGTGAGTTATAACACTGTAAAAACAATAGCAGGTAAATTGAACTCATCTTTAAGTGCCATACACTCACTCACACCTTAAAATCATATTATAGAAGATACTGTGCAGCTCAATGGGAGAGTGGGGGACATCACTATAAACTTTTAGCACACCTTGATGACATTATCAGTGTGTGATGTAAATATCTTCATACTTTAACTTTCTAATGTAAGATTTATACAATTACCGATAGATAGGAATTCAAAAAATACTTTCTGCTGTCCAACTGTCCAATACTGTTGAATTCCCTGCAATGACAGATGGTCCGTGTGTGTGTGTGTGTGTGTGTGTGTGTGTGTGTGTGTGTGTGTGTGTGTGTGTGTGCGTGTGTGTGTGTGTGTGTGTGTGTGTGTGTGTGTGTGTGTGTGTGAAAGTGAGAGAAAGGACTGAATGACACGGACAGATAATGGAACCATTAATTCTGCAGAGTGAGGAGTGCCAGCTGGGTGCAGCTGTGGTGTACAGGCTGGCACACAGAGGGCGACGGATAGAGAGAGGAAGAGAAAGTGATGAGGTGGTAGAAGAGGAGGAGAAGGAGAAGGTGAAAGAGGGGGGTGAAACAAATAAATTAATAAGTGACGAGAGTGAGAGAGGGACAAGGAGTGAGTAAGAGCGAGAGAAGAAGAGGGAGAGACAGAGAGAGGAAGTTTGAGAGAAAAGGAGAGAGCTTTCGGTAAACAAAAGGAAGGAAGGAGATGAGGGAGAGATGGAGGACCCTCAGTGGAGGTGTCACTCTGCCACTGAGAGACACTGATGCTTCCTATATCAGACAGGTCTGTCTGGTTGGGGCATTATGCTGGGCACCACAGTGACTGCCAGCCAGTTCAGGCCAATCAGCACAGACAGACAACACACTGTTTTAGTGGGTGGATTCAGTGTCCTTGAACCAGTGGTCAGGACTCTGTCCTTGTGTGCCATCGTTCACTCTGCAGGGGTGCCCCGGGGTATGTTTAGTTATTGTTTTAGTGATAGAGGTGCTACCAGAGTTTTGATACCGATATTAAAGCAATGTTTTTTTTAAACCTTAATTTGAGAAATATAAAACAATCTTCTGAACACAAGCAGACCCACAACTTTGCCAAATAAACTGATCAGTGCTGTCTTTCGATACTTGACAGGTCTTTGAACCTCAGTGCTGCAGACACAGTTTGATCGGTACCAGAAACGTAGTGACATTTGATACCCCTACCACGAGCAGGACACTGAATCCCAGCTATAGATGTATTCAACAAAAATATATCCACATGCCCCACCTCGCCGACAGCTGGACCTTTTGAACAGACTCTTATGGCCACTATAATGTTTCAACTTGTGATACTGAAAGGGCCCTGTACATCTTTTGTTGTAATGGATGTGTGTGTGTCCTAAAGTCTTAATGGACCAGAGTATCACTTCACCTTTGATCACAGCCAACAGTCACTGCACTGTCCATGAGATACCTGATCACCACCAGGTCCATGACCTCTGACCCGAAGGCATTATTCTGGTACAATTTGGGAGTTTGCGTGAAATCTAGGATTTTATAAAAACTAGCAAAGTATTCCTACACCATTTTAATTTGTGTTGCCTTTAGTGAAATGAAAATGAATAACAGCACTTTTTAAACTTATGTAAAAAAAAAAAAAAAAAAAAAAAAAAGGTAAAAACAATGGTGCTCCTCATGTTTGACAGCATATTTAAAGCTTCTCAGTAACATTGGATATTTCATGACTAACTCACCAACAATCAAAGTTTAAAAAAATCCCCAATAACTCCAATAAATCAGTTAATACGTTTTTCCAGTAAAAATGTAATTTGTGATGCAAAAATGATCATTGCCACACATATCATATCACAATCACAATATCTGTCAAAATACTTGCAATATGATGTTTTACCATATTGTGCAGCCCTAGTTTTTGGGGCCTTTAAAATGACATCAGATGGGGTTTTATTTCAGGCATTGAGACAATATAATTAGACTATATTAAAGGGTGTATAGATTTCTAATAGATACTAGACAAGATACCAGACTTGCGTATATTAACCAAGTGGAAAATGCTGGTCAGGGGTCAGTGACTATCTCATTTATTAGTATGACCAGTCAGGATAACCATATCCAGTGTGTAGGCCCTATCTTTAATCAAATGACCTAAATGTATTTAAGCCCTTCAGAGCCTCTGCATCTAGATAAAAAAAGCGTTGTATAAATTAATGTATCAGTCTGTGCATAAAAATAAACTGAAAGTAGCGCTGCAGTGGTTCGCAAGGGTAAATGGTCTTGAACTCGACTGATCATAATAGCAGAAGTGATAAAAGGCCTTGCATTTAACTTGAGGCGCTTGGTAGATGCAAAGTTGTACAGATGACCTCAAGTTATTGATTTACAATAACTTTCATATATGTTGTTTTCTCTTCTGGTAACCACTAGATGATTTCTCCTCCATAGTGGGGGGTGGGAAGGCAAATATAATGGCTGGAAGAGACAGGCACTCTGCCAGGGAAGACAGGAAGACAGAGAGAGAGGGCAGGGAAAGACATGAGGTCTCAGTGTGTGTCAGGATGCAGCCTTTAGTGTGTGTATGAAAGAAACAGATCTATCCTGAGCAGTCAGCAAATCTCTGGCCAAGAGAGGAAGACAGAGTGTGTGCAGTGTTGTTACTGACAGTAGTGTTTGTACAGGCAGTGCATATACACTGTATATATCGCTCACATGGATGCATGTGTGTGTCAGAAAAAAAGTGAGGTGGACAGAGACAGGGTATTTATTCTGGGCTTTCAGGCCCAGCCCTGGAGACAGTAGCACTTTTTTTTGATATTTAAAGAGCAAATCCATTATTGAACAGCTTGCTGTGGCTCTATGGCTGCCTGTCTCTACTTCTGTTTGGGTGTCTACAGTATATTCTCCACCACCTTATTTGTCCGTCAGTAAAATGTAACA